TGCCGGCTGGGCTTGAACCACGACACCAGGGTAAAGGGAAACAGTATGGCTTAAAGCTAGGATGCAAAATTGCAGATCAACCTTACAAATGAAAGCTTCAATTTGATTTCCAGCATCTTCAAATGGTATGAAAAAATAGATCCTGTGGTATTTGGGAACTAGTCAAGGATATTTCTCTTTTGTTGTTGGCCCAGATGTACCTGGTTGTACCCTAGTATCTTGCTGAGGAAAATACTCTGATGCCTTTGTCCTGATTCCATGTTTTGCTTGTTTTAACAACTGGTATACCAGTGGTTTTGGTTTTTTTTTTCCATAATTAATAATACATGGGATTATTTGCTTTTTAATTTGAGTTCCCAGGAAAAGAGAATAAGTGCAGTGCATGTGTTACTTTAAATTACTTGATCACTGCTGCCCCTCAGTCTGTCCTGCCTGCTGTTCATGTACAGTTTAATTTGCTGGCTGCCTCAAGTACAGATCTGTGAATTAAACAGACTCTATGCAACAGATGTAAGCACCTGGAATTAAACTGATAGGGTGCAGCTTTCCTGATCTTAATATTTAAAAGAAGTATGAAGTAGTATTAGCTAGGCTGAGTGTGGGTTATGATTTTTCTAGACTATGAGTGAGCAGGAACAGGACCTTCAGCCATACTTATAGGCACTCGATGTGTTGGGAGCTGAATCTCTTCATCCTTTTTTAATGAGTTCTGGAAGTTTAAGCATATAGGTCACTGAATAGTGCAACAATTGATTTGATGACATGAATATTTGCAGCTTCTGGTAGCTGATTTCTGACATACTGAATACATTGTTAGATGGTTCATTTGAACAGTTTGGATGGGATGTATCTACTGTCTTTACCTCTTTCAAGTGCTGCCTGCTTCCTCTGCAAAGCCTTATTGTGTGGTGAATGACTACTGCCTTCTCTTCTGATGCACTTGTTAATTTCACTCCATCTCTTTTTCTTATGCTGCAGAGTGAGCTTTATCAATTAGTTTCCAGACACAGTGCATGCTAGGAGTCTGTCTCCAATATTTGCAGAGGCAAGGGTGTCTTTAAAACTATTAAGGACACACTGAGAGATTCTCATTTAACTTGGCCATGGGCCTATGTACTGTCAAATCAGTTTTGAAGAACATGTAGTTTGGAAGTATGATCCTGGTCCAAAAATGCATATTGGGCAGTTCCAGAATATGCCTGGAAGTGTCTTGCAGCCTGGCACTATGTTACCAGTCTTATTGCATCATACGATGCTCTTGGGTACACAACCTTAAATAGCATGGCTTCTCTTTTGCGGCGCCAAATCTGGGCAAGACTTGTTCCTATATTAAGAAAACATGAATAGTCTGTGGTATGCCATTCAACCATAGTAAGATCTCCTAATCCTACATCACCCCTCAGGAATCTTGTTAGGCAGTTACATGGCAAGTTTCACTATTCTGCCAGCTAGCAACAACCATGTCTTGCCTGTCAAGCTGCTTGTGTGCTGAACATTATCAGTCTGAGGTGTACTTGTTAAATAGTTTCCTAGTACATCAAATCTTTTTCCTACTCCTGGATTCTGTTAAAACACGCTCTGAAAGAAAAGAAAACAAATCCAAAGCACTTCTTGACAAAAAAAATAAATCTGCTTTCCCGGTCAAGCTTTACAGACTATTAGTTGCCTCAATATGCCTGGTGTATTCCCTCAGAGGCAATAATAGCTGGCATTTACTAAGCAGTTGAACAGCCAAGAGATGCTCTGCATCTCCGGAAGACTCCTCATAGTTTTACATCTTATACATAATGCACATTGCCCTAAATTTGTTATAAATGTCACCAGCACATGGGGCTTTCTGCTTTTCAATTGATTAAAGAACCCCTGACATCCTGGTATATCCTTGTACTGGGACCCAGCTCAGCTTTTCATGGCTTGAGTTAAGAAGCCCATTTGCAGCTTCACATTGGTTCAGAAGCTGAGAATGCTAGAAACTCAGCTGGGTCCAAGTAACAAAACTCTGACCAAAACCTGTGCTGACAACAGTGATTGGGAGCAATCTGCTGCTGGAATTCTCTGGCAAGGTGGCCTGCTGTAGGGAGTGACTGAGCATGGCATGACACTGCTGATAACATGTATTAGAACTTGGAGGGTGCAGCAGGTGAGATATGAAATCTGACTCTTTAAGACTGCCCTGGCACTACCTGGAAAAGAGGTTGTAGAACAGAAGGATTCAGAATGAGGAGATGCTGAAACTCTTTTTACCACTTTGCCACTTGTGTGCCTGTCTATTGCTGGGATCTACTGCCTTGGAACTACTTTTAAATATGCAATCTCTTAGCTCCGTTTTTGGAGGAGTGTGAATGCATCTGCTAGTAGTAGAAACTCTTAATGCACCCTGTGTCTTCTGCAAGCTGGAATTGTTCCCTGCTGCTCCCGCAGAAAGAGAATCAGTGCTGGGAGGGTTTGTCCATATTCTTTGAAGCTCTGATCTGTGAAGATCCCTTGAGTGAGCTTTGCATAGAACAGGAGGATTCTCTTTCTGCTCTAATATAATATTCTTCCTTCTTCTTTCTGCTCAGATAGGAAAAGTCATAATCTTTTATAACATTATGAAATGAACAGCAGCATCTAGACCAACCTGGCTTCTGACTCTTAATTAAAGCCACACCATGTTTTGTTCCAAGATACAGGAGTTAATTATCTAAGCAGCAGTTACTTCAAGGTTACTCAAGGTTACTTCTGAGCAGACCTGAGGAATTCTGAAATAATGAAATTGATCTCCATTAAATTTTTTTATTGCTTTACAACAGTGTGAGGATACCTTCTGAGTTAACATACCTTTTGGATCTCACAATATCTCACAATGGGATTTCATGTTGTTTTTATTTTATCCACACAGGCTCAAATAGAAGAAAAATACCTATTTTTTAGTAGTGTATGTGTTGCTGGACTTACTAGTTCTTGGGATCAGTAGCTTTCCCTCAAAGCTTTTGTCTTTTATGAAACAAGTCTAATGGAAAGTAAGATTTGAGTAATAGAACTGAAGCAACATTCAGTCATTACCTTTTTTTTTTTTTTTTTCCTTTAGGACATTCTAAAATGAAGGAAATCTGCCTAATAAATCTCTAACATATATTTGTGTGTTGTAGTAGAAGAAGATACTTTAATGTTCAACTTAATTATTAATGAAATCAATGTTGGTTGATTTTGAATTAGGACACTGATCAATGTCTATAGAATAGAAGGTGTTCATAAGAGACTAACTGTGGCCTAATCTTGAGATGTGTCTGAAAGGATGAGAAAAATTTATTTTTTTTTTTTTTTTTTTCTTTTGTCTTAAACTGAAATTCGGCATCTGCAAATTATACTTTCCCCTTTCTCTACCTGAATTTGCTTTCCATACTGTTGTCTACCTGCCTTGGACAAGCTAACAAGGATGGAAAAAACCTGTGGTGTTTTGGGAAGGTGAAGTGGCATGAAAAAAAAGCAAGGATGTAAGGCTTGTTACCATCTTTGTCCCACATAGCCATGTCCTGCTAGTAATACAGAGCACTTGTGGTGGTGTCTAGCTTAGGCTTTGTGGTGATGTCTGTATTTTCAAGTGTAGTTTGTGGGGCCTTTTGATCTATTTCATACAAGGATCAAAGTTAGAAACTCACTCTCAAAACCAGCAATTCTTACAGAGCTTGGAAATGTTATCCAAGAATTCGCTAAAGGGTCAGAAATCTTGTTGGCAAGGAAGAAAGTTAGTTGGGTCTTCTGCTTTTCTGACCTCATAACAATCGCAGTCTAGGACAATTGGTGAGCTTCAGGCTAGCATCAGTGCTCCATAGGGCATCATAGAGAATTTATGCTTATCAGGTATGAAAATAATTTATTAAAAAATCAAAATAGCAGCTGTCTCTTCAGCTTTGTTAGTCTATCTTCTGGTGTGATCCTCCTCGTTCTCCTTTCTCTCCCATTCTCGTAGGCTTCCTGTTGTCCTGTGTGGAGGAATACCTGTGTATTTAAGCTACATGTAATTATGAAATGTGGAAGTGAATAGTGATAGTACTGTGGTGGAACAGTGTTTATGTATTCCCTTTAGTATTCGTTTTCTATGAGATCTTCAGAGTTTTCCTTTAATATTTTTCTAACTTCTTCTTTATTGCTGGCTATAAAATGCTGACTAGGCATTTATTCATGTAAATTAAGCTATTTGAGACATTTGCCTTGGATCAAGGCAAGTTTCTTACTGCAATTCACTTGCTGTAATTTGAACACTGATGTTCACTTTTAGGAGAATCTGATCTCAATGGAGCAATAACAGAAGCAGGGAAAACCTATGAGGAAATCGCCAGTCTTGTGGCAGATCAGGTGGGAGTATTATGAATGCAGTGGTGTAGCATGTACAAATATATGACCTATCTGGGTCACTTCTGACTCTCTTTTTTTTTTTTTTTTTTTTTTTTTTTTTTTTTTTTTTTTTTCCTCTTCCTGTTAAAACATAACTGCTAGTGTTGCATACCACTTAAATGAGATTACTATTAGTACTTCTAAATGCGCTTTCATCTTCTCTACTGTGTTTCAACTTAAGATGGATGTGGTGGGAGGGTATTTCTTGGTGTCAGTATTCAAGTCATAAATTGATGTTTTGCATATTAAACTTAGTCTCCAAAATGCAGATCTTCTTAAAACAGTTTTCCAAGTCAGCAACTGAGGACATGCACCTGTCCCATGTGCATATATGTACATGTAATAAGATTGTACTGGTAACTCCTCTTCAGTGAAAATTCAAGGCAAAACCCTTCATATCATAAGCTAGTGTTGAGTAAAACAAAGAACAGAGGCATCTGCTAACTGGTGCTTGGTGTTTTACTCCAAAGAGTCCTTTCAGAAGGACTCCTTTAAATGTGAAACAACATACAATAAGTATTAATTAAGTAATCTTAGTATTGGATGTTTCTTTTCTGTTCTGTTCTTCCTTTTTTTTTTTTCCCCTCACCCTCTCTTGGCATCATAGTTTCTTTTCTCTGATGTTACTAATGCTTATGCTTTATTTATTAGCCGAAGAAAGATCTTCATTTTTTGATGGAAACAAATCATGAATATAAAGGATTTCTTGGTTGCTTTCCTGACATCATAGGAGCTCATAAGGTATGTGAGCAGACTTTCCTTTTAAGGGTTGGGTGGTAGAAGGATCTACAGCAACAAAAGCAGTGGTATGGTACACTGCATTTATGCAGCAGCCTGGCCCTGCTTCCAGAAACTCTAAAAGCTTCTGTGAAACCGGTGTGTTGATTTTTAAAACAAAAAAGTACTTAGAGGGAAGGGAAGCTAGAACTTGTCTTCAGATTTGACAATACCAATACTTTCTGCTGTAGTAGAGCACTAGAAACTTCATTATTTTCTTCAGGTTAACACCATGTTCCAGTGTAATGAATACCGGTAGTTTAAATTTGTAGTGTATTTGAGTCTTCCATAGTAGCTGATACTCAGCCATCCCAGTATTGTAGGCAAAACTTGTGTACGCTTACGTGGCTAGCTTACTGATTCATGATAAATAATCATGCACTGGCTAGAAGTTTCTTTTTAATATTAAAAAACAGAATAGAGCTAACTCCTCTGAGGGGGGAGGGACAAAAAATACACACCAAGAAAACCCAAAATCAACCCCAAAACAAAAAACCACCAGCAACAAAACCTAATCCCTTTATTCTCTGTAACAGGAAAGTCATCAGATAATAAGCCAGTAAACTTAGCCACTGTGTCTAGTTTGGGATAGTGTGCCCTTTTTTTGTTCCTAGAGGTTTCCATCTGTTTGTGTGCCTACTGTAACGTATTTCAGGAAACTAAAAATTTTGAACTGTTAAACAAGTACACAAGTATTTATTGAAGTGCTAAATATATAAAGCAAGGCCATATTTATTAGAGCAACAAAGATGAAAGCATATAAGTTTTGTGTAGTCTTTCTTAGGGCACTTATGATGTCCTTGGGGATAAATACCTTAAAAGGAGAAGAAATGTTTTTAAAACTTGAAACATAAGCCTACTACTAAGAGATGCGTAAATCAATTGTCTTGAATGTTTGGCACAAACACACTGTGAAGGGAGAGGCATTTCTTTTTATGCTTGTTGTTTTTATGCTTGTGACACAAGGATTTTCCTGAATCAAGTTAAACATTGCAGTGAGTTGTCCCTTGGAATATAGTTTGTTGTCACATCTTGTATAATGTGCAAATAAGGTTCTACAGGCATTTGAGGCTTTTGGATGTCTGTCGTGCTGGTTAGCTGTATTTTGAAACTTAGTCCTTTTGTCCTCTCTGTGAATATCCATGTAGTTTTCCAAGCTCAATTTCCTAGTGACTGTGTTCCTGCCTGTGTTTGAAGTGACTTTTTGCAAGCTCTTGGGACTCTTGAAATCAGTAGAGTGAAATAACAAATTTCAGGTGAAAACATGAGAAGGCAGAAACCGTCATTGTATGTGTATAGCATACAAGCTCAAAATGTGGCCAGAGGCATTTTGGATGACTGTAAAGACCTTTAAGCTGACTACTCTTTTAATCTTTCTGCATTTGTTTTTTACAGGGAGCAATAGAAAGAGTGAAAGAATGTGATAAATTAGTTGCAACTAGTAAAATAACACCACAAGACAAACAGAACATGGTGAAACGTGTGAGCACCATGGCTTATGCACTACAAGGTAAACCAAATTTTGGACTAAACAGTAATGTTGTAGACCTCTGAAATAAGTAACAAACTTCGAAAGAGAATCTTTATGCTGCCAGGAATGATAAGAGCTAGGCTTAGCTTGTTTTGGGTTTTTTGCGGGGGGAGGGTGTGGTGGTTTGGTTTAGTTTTTTTAATTTTTTTTTTTGTGTGTGATCTGCTTAGATCTTCCTAAAACTGCATTTATTTTGTGTATTGTTTTCTTACAAATCTCATAATATTGATATTGCAGAAGATACGTGTGTTGGAAATGCAATTTAAAAAAACCCCAACCAAAGCAAACACACACAAAAATCCCACCCCAAAACAAGCCCACAATGCAACAATCACCCCAGACTGATTCTTTCATTCTTGAAGTGATAATGTGTCAAAGATAAAGCATGGGCCCTGATGCAGGAAGCAGTTCATCATGTGCAGAAGTGTGTTTTTGACTCATGGTTTAGTCAGACATGATCCAATTGAGATTCATGCTGCACATAAGATTTTATTTCCTGCATGTTCTTTGAATGAAGTTTTTCCTCTTTAGGTTAGAGATGATGTAAATACGAGATCTCGCACACTGCACTTGAAAAACTGGGGAAGTGAGGAGTCAGGGCTCAGTCCTGCAGGATATCAAGTCCTCAGGTGCATCCTGTTACTGACTTCAGTGGGTCTACTCATTGCTTGAGGGAGTTGCATCTTTTTTAGCTGACTTAAAGGCAAGAGTACTCAGTGTTTTACAGGACAAAGTCAGAGCAGCACATAAAAATGGTTTTAGAAACAAACAAGAAAACTCCCCAGCCCTTTCTTTTTGGTCACAATGGTGCAAGAGGACTGTGCTGTGTAACTGGTAATCACGGAAGAGACCTCTAGGATAACTCTTATCTAGAATGTTTCTTCTCCCCCTGTTGGTATCTCAAAATATATTAAATTTTTTATTCCAGCCATAACTGCAGTCTGACAAGAGATGCAGGAAGTGGTGAAAGGTGTGACAGATTCAGTAACACTGTTTCTCAGTTTTCTACTGAAAGAGCCTCAGTCAAGAATGGGTCAAACGCTACTGGCTGTATCTTTTTTTTTTTTTTTTTTTTTTTTGAGCTAAATACTTACAAATGTGGCTTACAGCTTGACATCTCTACCCTTGGAAATCTGAATGTCCAGCCAAAATCTGTTGGTAACACTTCAGGAAAGAGCCGTTACCTCAGTAGGATAAAGTCCTCCTTGTATTTTTCATCAAATTTTTATATACCTGAGTATTGTAACAAGAACCTGGCTTTATCCAGGAAACATCCATATTTTATCAGTGAGTAATAGACACCCTACCAGTTTTACAAGCAGTTCCATCGTAACCTGAGTGCTGCAGGCAAAGCAGGTTGTTGGAAGCATTAGAACAGTAACTATGGTGACAGGGCTGGACATTGAGCTTGGTGCACAGTAACTAACCTGAACTAAGTGAAACTGTTCCTAATTACAAATGCTTCTCTTAAATAATTTCACTTCTGGGTCTATTTGCAGCTGAGATGAATCACTTCCACAGTAACCGGATTTATGACTACAACAGTGTCATTCGTCTGTATCTGGAGCAGCAGGCACAGTTCTATGAAACGGTAAGGGGTAGTATTTCAGTGCCATTTTCTTGGCATGTACCATGCTGCCACTTTTGTAAGAAATACAGTACTTCAGCATCTTTTTATATGAGCCTCTATCAGAGCAGATATTTCAAGAATTGTACATGTAAAAAAAATAAAAACAAAAAATGAGTTGAAATAGTATTTTCCTGTAGATAGTATCCTATGTACATAATTGTCATACTAGACTGAAAAAGCAGTGTAGAGAAACATTATTGTTGACAGCTTGATTTTTACTTTTTTTTTTTTTTCCAATGCTATAACTAGATATGCAGTAAGACCTGCTGCACTGAATACATCAAGAAACTATTTGAATGAAACTTCCCTCCCATAGGAATGGGGGATGAAGGGAAGCTTATGCAAGTTAAAGCCTGATGTATACAGGTTGGGGGAGACAGAACTGGAGTGCTTTAAGCGACTTACTAACTATGTTAACACTGATCACTTAACCTACAACCTCGGTTCTCATTTAAATTTGTTCTTATGCATGTGTTCCTTTTTTTAAAAGAAAAACAAGAACAGATTTTCTAATGTGATATGCTGGTAAAACATGTGAGTTTGAGTGTGCTGCAGCCTGGCTTCCATCACTTAAAGGAGTCATATAAGCAACTGGTTGCCCCTCACAGCAGTAACAGATGCCAGTGGGGCTTCAGAGGTATCTTTAGTGGATGAGAAGTTCAGGTCCCCCATTGTGTCACCTTGCTAAGTTTCTCTGACACATCTGATGGGCTTTAGGCATGTGTTTCCCCTTACCTTCTTTCAGTCTCTTGTCAAATCCATCCCAATTCTTCTGGTTGCAGCCTCACCCGTCTCCTTGTACCAATCCTCGCTCCCCCAGTACAGGGATAAAATCCATGTTCACATGTGCGATGCTGCTGGCTACCATAAGAACACAGGAACTCTGTTCTGATGTGTAGCCTTGTTTCAGTAGGGAAATTGATTTCATGAAAAATACGTCTTTGTGCCTGTAGTCTTCCTACATAGTGCAGTGATAGATAACCTGATAGGCAAGAGGACAGCCCAGCCTACAATACCTTCTCCAACACAACTTGAGTGGTGAGAGTACAAAATGAACAAGGCAGAAAGTGTATACATGAGAAGAAAAGTCTTTATAATGGAATGCTTTATATAATATACAAAATCTGCAGTAAAAACTGCAATTTTAAAGAAAATGAGGGAAAATTAATTTCTTAATCTGTAATTGTATTTGTGCACAGTTTAAAGTGACTACATATTAAATATGTTCTGTTTCTTTGTTTCAGATTGCACAGAAGCTGAGGCAGGCACTCAGCCGCTTTCCTATGATGTAGAGAATAAGGAATAGTCAACAATAAAGAACAACTCCGAAGTGCTTTTCTGATGCTGCGGCAACGCTAATAAAAACTTATTAGCTTTTGCCAGCCAAAACCCACCAAAAATCCCCAACAACAACAATCAGTTGTAGAAAAAAAAGAATTCTTTAAAATTTTACTTTATCAGCTGAAATCATAAGATAAGGTTCTCTTATCTTGAATAGTCTCCCATTTGTATCATTATTTAAATAAAAACAGCCAGATAATGCTGTCAGTTATGGGGCTCTAAATTATTGAACTGGTATGTTGCCATGGACTTCATGCAGACTTGCATCTATCAGATGTTCTTCCAAAAACTCTTAATCAACATCAGATTTACATATTTGTATCTTTTAAGTGGGAAAGCAGACAAGCTTGAGAGAATTAATACTCGTTATATGCAATCCAGCTCTCTAGTGATTCAATAGCCAGGAGGAATTATATTTGTGTATGTTTCTGGTACCTGTTCATGATAATCTCCTGAATGAACACTTTGTTCTAGGTTTTGCTTCCCATATGCAGCCATGGCATACTGCTACCATTATGACTTCTGGTAAATATCACTCATTCTTCCTTTTCTCTTTTTTCCTTCTAACCAGATCTTATACTTGTGGCACAACACCTCAGAGCTTATGTCAGGCTCGTTCTTTCTTGCTATGCACTGTGTAAGAAGACAAAGTACAAACAGGGAATGAGCCATTCAGGAAGGTGTGAAAACAGTTTTCCATACCAGCACTTTGACACTCCCCAGTGTTGTGCCATAAGGCACTGGTGTTCCTCAGTGCTGTACAGGGACAGCTTCCCTTTTACCCCTCAGAGTTCAAAGCCCTTTGTTAGAGAGGACACTGCCACATCTAACCCAAACTAGTAGATGTCCCCAAATTCCAACTAAGCTCAGGTCTTCATGTAATAGTATTGTATGCTGTTGGCTTGGGTTAACTTTTTGTTACCTTCTAATGCAAACTAAAAGGTGGCAAAAGTACCAAATAACATCATTAGTTATCACACAAACTCTGTGCATTGATCATCATCTCTTATTAAGTGGGCCAGTGACCTCTTTCATATGACTGAAACACCATTTGAGGCCTAGGCTTTTCAAAGCAAAAAGCCACAACCTACCCTGTTCACAGTGGGCACCAACTGCAGTAATTCATTTCATGCCATAAGCAACCACAAAAGCCAACATGCAGGTTTTGCTAAAATGTGCCTAGAAATGAACATTTCAGCAATAGAAAAAAAAAAAACAACCAAGGCATTTTACCAATAAGCCATTCTAAGGGATGGGTGCAGTCTGCTGGTTGGATAAGCTGCCTTATTCTGTTATACAGTGGTGTTATTTTTGTGTGCCAGAAGGAAAATCGGGGCCTGCCTGAATAACCTGAAACCAAACCAAACCAGACTAAGCCTAAGTCTAGATGCTTTTCAGTGTCTCGGGTTTTGTTCACATTTTATAAACCTTGTCTTTTTCTCCTCCCAGTTTTAGCTGTTTGCTTCCAAAATTCCATAGCTTTAGTGTTGTTTGATACAGCCATTTAAATATGTACAAATTGTAAAGAATGTGTATAAATGTTTTACACCAAATGTAAGATCTGCTTGCATGTAGAAGCAGCTTCTATAATAAATTGTTACAATATGTACAGTAAATTCTGAAATCACCTTTTCAAGCCAGCATTTTTTTAGCATTTGTATATTCACTTTTTGGTAATGAAATCTCTTTGTAACAGTCTCTTGATTTGGGAGGGGGAAGTGGGAAGGGGTCTTTTTACCAATCTTTAAATAGCTCTGTATGCACTAAAGTTGAAGGCTCTTTACTTTGAAGGGATTGTTTTGGAATCTAAGTGTAAGCTGTGCATTCCTAGTGCAGGAAAGCTATGACAGTAGCAACTGTGTCAGAGATGCAGCATTTTGGCACGAAAGAGAAACTGTTAAAAGATTTCTAGTAAAATGAAGTTAAAACTGGTAAATAAATATTTATGTATATCCACCAGACTATTTTTTTTTTTTTTATATTTTCTTTTTCGTTTGAAATCATCACGTTGCTTTCTAACAGGGTGGTGCAGTATGAGACAAATCCTCCTTATAGCTTTTCATCAGCTTACGCACACTGGCCGGCTGAGGAGGGAGAAAGCATCCATGTGTCTTCCATGAATCGGGCATCCCAATTGAAGGGTATAATAGTGCTAGTGACTGCAGACCGGCAAAGGCTACGCATATGTTGGAAGCTTTCATTATTCAGGTCAGTCAAGCTCATGGCTGATAGAACCCTCCTGACTGCAAATAAGTAGTAGAGCACAGTGCTACTGTGTATTCCTGGCTTTGTGTCGGCATGGTGTTGACCCAGAATAGGAATTCGATTGTCCTTGATATTTGTTTTTTAAATTAGACATCAATAGTGGCATAGTTAGATTGGGTGAGTTGGGAGCAACAGAAAACCTTCACACTGAAGATGCAGTCATAAAACAAGAATAACAAGTTGGAGTAAGACTTGAGCAGCACCCTCCCGAATTCTGTTTGTCATAGCTGAATAATTGATCTCTGGAGCATCAAAAGGCCTTAATACTATTTCCTGGCTTATGCTTTTCTTCGAGGGTGAGCCAAACATTGGCATTATTCCAGTGACTTTGTGAAAGTCTTCAAGCACCCTAGCTGTTGGGGTTGACTTTGTATTTTGTTTATTCTGTTACTGTTTTTCAGCACTAAAAATGTAGCTATACAAAGGGGAATGCTACCTGTATTTCTTGTCTGCAGTTAATTCCACATGGGATTAGACTGCAGCAGCAGGCAGTGGTGGTGTTGCAATGTATGGTATGTTTTTGGAAGAGTACTGTCTACTGCAATTAGAAAGAGGGGTCTTTAATGCTATAATGAGGCCTAGCTTTGCCTGAGTACTGACATTTTTACATTACTGAGCAATTTCTGTTTTCTATGACAAAGCAGTTGAGAAAGTATTAACATACTTATTCTGTAAATTCTGATTAAATAATATACATCAATTTTACTGCTGCCAAAATTATTCTTGCTTAGTGCAGCAGAATAATACAGACTAACAGCCTGTAAAGAAAGACATGCATCTCTTATGCTGTGCTTTAGTCTGAAGTACTCAAGATGCTCTGCCAGCCTGGATTGGCCAGCGTACTCCACAGCCTCATAGCATGCAGCTGCCTGAAGCAAGCAAAGTGCTCGCTAGGCAGGCATCCTGGTCAGCTGCTCCTGCCTTTCATGGGGCTTCACACTGAGACGTGTGAGCAAGCACCAGAGGAAGGCAAGCTGGGGGAGGTCTTCGTTCACTTGTTTTTTCCAAGTTCTGTACAAACAAGTACAGAACAGGAAAGGTAACCACTTGTGCAGGAAAAAAAACCTTTTCTGTCTAAAGAATCCCCAACAAAAATAACCTCATAGAACTAGAAACATATGGACTGGCTGGAGACCAATCCACCCATCATGTAGTTTACTACTCATCCATCAGTTATACCCTTACTATTTTAAAGGACACCTGAGTTACAAATACGCATTTTCTTGGAATCTTGGAGATTCCACAATGTGCCAGCATAGTACTTTACAGTAGATCAGCATGTTACTGCTTGAAAAGCTTTACTTTGCATGCATCATCACTTCTGAAAGTTGTGTACATATGGAATACTATCTCTGAGCTTGAGTTTTCATTAACTAGAACAGTTAACCAACTTATCTAATGTTTACATACTAGAAGTCTTTCTTCACGTTAAACTGTATTGCCTTTCTTCCCTGCGTGCATAAAATGAGCCTGTTCTCTTGCTCATACTATTTCTGTCAGTGCATGCCAGGGTGAGGATTGTAGCTCTCACTCTTCCAATAGAGTCATGCTGCTGGCCCATCAGTATTTATGCCCACGTCACCTTGCTGTATTCCTGCCTGGCTGCATAACTTCCCATACAGTGGCCAAATACTGTATGTAGAGTTTTGTGCATCTATCACAACTAAAATACAATTCCCAACCACACTTTCAATTTACCATACTTGGTTCCTCCCATACTTGTAATCCAGAGGTAGTTGGGGTCATGCAGGTTGCTTTGCTTTTAACAAATTTATGTTATATTCCAATTATTTTATAGACTTTTAGTGTCAGTTTTCAACTTGGTTTATGCCAACCTAGTAGTCACCATATTTAGAATGCATCCTCTTGAATTTCTTCTGAGATCTGAATGTGAGAAATCTGTCAAAATTCTTTCTGAAACCCTTCTGTTTGTATCTCTGTATCCCCTGTGTTTAAGTAGGTTAATCCGCCAGTCAGTGCATTTTTTTTCTCCCCCCCCCTGCTATTTGCACATCAGTTGTGGCTTTGGGATCTTTGCAGTATCTTTGCTGATGAAAGTCAGTATCTACTGCCTTACTGTGAAGTCTAGATTCTTGTCATCTACAGAGTTAAAATCTCTTTGCTCCATGATAGACTCAATCAGTTTCTTTAAACCAGACCTGTCAATCTGAAGCCAGCTTTCTCACATTTACTAAACACTGTTCTTCCTTTTTCTGGCCTGTGGCTGTGTTCTCCTATTAAAATATATCTTTGTAAGTCCCATATTTTTCTACTGGGGCTGAAGCAAGAATGTGTATCATGTCTAATGTTCTCTGTTAACAGCAGACTTTTGCTACCCTTGGTTTTCCTCTTATACCTAGCATCTTTAAAAACTATTCGCTTCTTACAATCGTTTGCTAATAGCATCCATCAATTTGAGGTCATTTTTAATTCACTTTGCCTTCCATTGCAATTAAATCTCAGTAGATCCAAATCTAAAATTGTTACTCTTCACTGGTGTATTTTTATCTTCTGAAATATCATTCCCTGAACAAACGAATAATTCTATGAATTTCTATTCCAAGAAATAGTTTTCAATTTAAAAAATAAAATAGAGCAGAATTGTAAGGATATGACTAAGTTGCTAGCTCCAAAAGGTTTCCTAGAGGTTATCTCAGCAGAATAATGACAAATGGTAGGGGCATAAAAATAACAGAAAATACAGAAACATTGTAGAGGCTTATGTGGGATTTGGACTAGATGATCTCCAGAAGTCCCTTCCAACCCTAATGATTCTACAGAGTGCTTTAGTTTTTTTTTGAATTGGATGTTAGTTACATAACTGCAGTTATTAGACTATTCCCAAAGATACTCGCCAAAAGCAAGGAGCAAGGGACAA